GTTTTTAAGAAGATGTTGGATAACCTTTTGTCTGAAGTGGTGTAGGGTTTCCTGCCTGAACAGGGGATTGGACTAGAAGACCTCCAAGGTCCTTTCCAATTCTGTTGTCCTGTTATTCAGTTTTCAGATGATCAAAAATTTGGCAATTGTCTAAACCATGCTGGTGAATGCTGCCTGGAGGATTATGAGAATCAAACGTCTTTATTTCTGCAGAAAACAGGTTTCAGGAAAGTCAGAAAGTAATCCAGATGATATCTAGGATATTACTTAGGATGCTCCCTACATAATCAATTCTTAGAAACAGAATTTATTTAGTGAAGCTGTTTGTTTGATTAAGTCCTGATGTAGGTTTTTGTTCACTGCTTTTAGAAAATCAATCCAGATATCAGATACAGAATACAAAACAGTTCAGATTTCAGAGTTACTGCAGAAGGATTTATCCAGATCACTAAGCTTCTGAATGTATCATCTCCTATTACCCTTCTGGTAAGTAACTTTTTCTAAAATTATTGTACATTTCTGTTTAGTTTGAGGCTTCCAAATGACACTTTTGTCTTGAGTTCCTGTCTTTACTGTCTCTCTCATTATCATCTGTCACTTCAAAATAATTGATTTAAAATAGATGAAAGACTGTGACTCGACAGAGGAAAATAATCTGACAGCCATTAACACAATGCACTAAATCAAAACCAAACAAACCTCTTTAAAGTGTAGTACAATTTATACACCAGGGAGTTTTATTTATTTTTCAACAATCTAATGATCTAACATTGATCAATGTAGATTTTCTGAGTAAAATTAAACTTTGACCACATTATGGGTAAATAATATGATTCTATTATATGCAGATGTGTCAAATATTTGAAATAACAAAGACTCTGCAGGAAACATTAATGGCTGACATTATTCTATCATTGAGTTTTTTACTCCAATGTTAATCATTAGCTGTTAAAAGGTTTTTCAAAAGGCTGAAATCCCTATATTATTGATTAAAAGATACAATTCTAAAGAGTTCAGTAAGGATTTAAATGCTGTTAAGTAGTCAATTAAAACAAAACAGAGCAAACAAAAAGACTTTTATCAGATGTACTTCTAAGAACAATTAAACTACACTGCCAAAACCACAGTGAAGATTTATATTTCTCATTCCATTCTGCAGAATACAATCAAGTTTCATTTTAGTTGTCTTGGCTTTGTAGTAAATAGGAAGGAAATTTGAATCAGTCATATCAGTTCAGCTTTATGAATTAATTTGAAAGAAGCAGCATTGGTTTGTGTTCAAACTGAGGCTCCAAATTAAAGCTTTGCATTGCTCTAATAAATAGTGCCATTACTGAGTTCAAAAAGTATTGTAAAAATATATCATTCTAAAAACAAACAAACCCAAAACTATTATTTTTTCAACCTTTTGTTGAACCACCTTTGTTTTAAACATCTAACCACCTCTGGTTTTAAACATCTATCTTCTCTGGAGATTGAATCTTGAAATGAACATTAAGGTACTCCCATTGCATGCAGTAGA